AATAATCATAATGGCCTCAGCATGAGTTTTATGAGACAGACATGGTGAGATAATACAGCCTGTGGTCAGAGTCACTGTTGTTAATACTGTCCAAGAATCCTCATCAACAAGTCCCGGGACCCCCACTGACGCTGACTCTTAAACCCACCCTCAATATTCGGTTACATTAAAGCTCAGATTTTATCTTCTTTATGATCTTCTTTATTTTATCCCATTATCTATCTCACTTGTTTATTTACCTATCCGGCCATATTGTACATACTGTCTCTCTTTTTCTTATTTGTATGTATTTGCTCCTTTTATTGTCTCTATTTTTATCTTTATTTATCTTTTTATCTGCCTAATTGTTATGCACCAACTTACCAAGGCAAATTCCTTGTATGTGAAACCTCTGAAATTATCCAATTGATTTTAAAACTGAGCAGCTATTGTGAAATGTAGCCTTTGCCAGGCTGTGTGAAGGGGAGACAATATGCAGGTTACATTATCAAAGTCTAACCAGAGTAGGCAGACAACATGGAGACAAACCTCGGACATTTCCAAAAAAACACCAGTAATGTAAAATGTAAAAGAAAAAGTAAAAAATCCAACAAAAAAAAACAACAACCACAAGGGGACACATACATGAACAAACACATGATCCCCAGACATAAAAAGAGGTTAAAGTATAAATAATAAATGTAATATACATAAAACATATGATGAAATAATAACTCTTCTTTTAAAAGGCAGTATTTTTTTGTTTTATGTAAGAATGACAATGTCAGATGGCACATATTTTAACAAAGTTGAGGGTCCTCCTCTGTCAGGGGACCACGAGGGAACAAGTCCTCCACCACGCTGTAGAGTCCGTGCAGCACACAACAGCTCAGTCCGCTGCGGGGCATCACGGTATCAGAGGCACTGTACCACATACCGGCCTCCTCGTCGTAGCGCTCCACAGCTAACAGAGTGGTGGAGCCGTTGTGTCCTCCGACCACAAACAGCTGGTCGTCCACCACCTCAATGCCGAAGTAGCTGCGGGGGCTGTACATGGAGGGCACGTTGCTCCACCTGTCGGTCTGGAGGTTGTAGGCCTCAGCGCTGCGCAGGTGGGAGTTGTTGCCAATGGTGCCACCAACCTAGGAGGAAGACGAAGAGTAAGGAACCACATACGGAGTCTGGACCATTGACAGTCTTTAAAACGGACACTGGAGTTTCTTAAAGCTGCATTCTGTGTAATGGCCAGCAGGGGGAAGCTTCATTGGCTGCAATAACAAACTGATACCGTTCAGTCTTATGGAGAGGTTGCCATGAGTTAGCAAATTGGCATGATGCTGGCTAGCTTGGTAGTTTGTTAAATAGCCCGACTAACGACTAAACCACCACCTTTATCTTATTACAGGAAGACACATGAATTAATCCCACAGTTTTAATCATCTAACAATTAATTTGTCTCCTGTTAATAACATTTATATCAAGATATGATAAGATTTACTTTACATATTATGAATTATAATTAATTAGAGACTAGAGAGTTGTAGGTGTACCATCATTCATCAACCAGTCTCCCTTGTGAAAGACAGACTTCCCTAAATAGTGACTGACTGTCCTCCAGTGACACTCCAGTCAACATTTACATGGTAACCAAACCTCTGAGCTACATATTAAAGCCTCACACACTTACTGCATAGATACGGCCTCTGTAGGCAGCGACACCCAGGCCACTGCGGCAGCTCCTCATGGGGGCGATCATGGTCCACTGGTTGGTGTTCGGGTCGTAGCATTCAGCTGTGGAGAGGCTGTGACGCCCATTGAAACCCCCACAAACGTACACCTACAGAAAGATTAGAGACACAGGTGAAATAATGCTCAAAAATATGATCTATAATGTATTTTTTAGCTTGCTTAAGGTCTGTAATGTGAGAAAATACAATTAAAATGTGCCTTTTAAAAGGTAAGGGGACTTGGCTTTTAACTAAATTGCTATAACAATTCAGTAGTCCCATTGTGGTTATACTATAGAGAAACATGCCTCATTCACAGATTAGGGAGAAAACCAAACAAATTAATTGTAAAATGTAAAATTAAGATATATAATCCTCTATAAAATATATTACTGGGTCAGTTTTGTTGACTTTATTGTGATTCTATTATGTTACAACCCCAACTTAAAGGGGAAGCAACTAGGTATTTTATAGAGGATTATATATCTTAATTTAGCTTTCTCTACTGAGTCCTTACGTTGGATTCATAAAAGATGCTGAGCTTCAAAAACTCGTATACGCAGGTCCTAAGAAGCCCATTTGTAACTTACATGCCTGTGACCTGCACCTGCATTAGCAATCTCCCCTTATATAATGCATGTAAACTGTTGGTAATTCAGTCTGATTATTAGTTTGGTGGTTAAATTGCTTCCCTTACCTTTCCATTCAGAGTTGTGGCACTGGCCCCACACCTCTTTGTAGTCATAGGTGCAATCATGTTCCACTGGTCAGTCTCGGGCTTGTAGCACTCGACAGTCTTATAGTAGGTGTGTCCATTGAAGCCTCCAATGGCATAAATGCACCCGTTCAGCACAGCTACGCTGATATAGCAGCGGTGGGAGTACATGGGCGCCACCTGGTGCCACGTGCGGGTGACGAGGTCAAACTTTTGCACCGTCCTGAAGTAAACTTCGTGGCTGCAGCCACCGATTAAGTACACAACATTGTTGAGGACGGCGGCGCCGTGGTGAGTGCGCCAAATCTGCTCGGTGTTCACGGTGACCCAGGAGTCAGCTCGGGCATCATACGCCTCCATGCAGTTCGGAGCACATCTGGCATCAACACTTCCGGTGACCAGTAAAATGACAGACGGCAAGCGTGGGCGGGTCAGCAGGTTACTGTAGACAGATTTTGAGCGTCCACTGGCCCTAAAATCCATACATGCCGTCACTGCATCATTGATGATGGATGTGCACTCGACGCAGTCCTTTATCACAGCGTTGTCTACCACGTTGTTTTGGAGGTAACTAGGGGTCATCAAGCCTAGCCGCACCTGGACAAATATAAGAGGAATTAGATACCAATCTGACATTGAGATTATGTGATAAGTAAGGAGGTGGAGTCAGGATGTGGTTAGCCTGGCTTAGCATAAAGACTAGAAGCAAGGGTAAATTGTTGGCCGGGGCCTGTCCAAAGTTCAAGTTCAATACATCCAACTATCCACCCTGAACTACTCCCTAAGGCATTTTGTGGTTGTTTAGCTCATATAAAAGGTATTAACCAGTTAAAAACTCCTTGTACATTTAACTGACTAGTTACCTTGCGCAACAGCACAGAGATGTACAATCGTCTTTGTTCAGGCAGGTGGTTAATCCAGCCGAGAACGGCCTCAAACACTGTGTTTTCTCCTTTCACGTTGAGGTGATCGTTCTCAACGATAGCACCCAGCTGCCGCACAGAGAGGTCCAGGAGCTCCTGTGAGACACAAACTATCTCCTCGAAGCGGTGCAGGATGTAGAGGAAGACTTTCTCCTTCAGCTCAGGGCAGTGGTAGAAGTCCACCAGCCTCCAGATGCCGATGCAGTTCTTCGGGCACAGCTGCTCCTCCAGGAACAGGCAGCAGGTGTGAATGATCCCCGGGACCAAGAACTGATCTGCAGTCGCTAAAACCTCCAACACGTTATCCTCTGTCACAGTAACAGAGCGGGTGTAGGCGTAGTTGATGATGAGCTGCATCATTTCGGGCGTCACCCCAGGGATGGTATATATCTGCTTGTTTGAGGTCGCCCAGGCACCGGTGAAGAGAGCTCTGTGGGATCAGGATGTAGAGAACATCAGGGTTTTAGAAAGTCAACTGTATGTAACTGTCGTAACATCTGGACCTCAAACAGTCCCAGGAAATCTGGGCCTGGTCTTCATATGTAGATAGCAGAGTTAGCTTGATTGGATTAGTGATCATGTGACACAAACTTGGATTTTTCAGTTCTTCAAAGCTGCTTTAAAATTGATCTGGAGCTAAATTATGACTAGTCAAGGTAAACCTCATGAACCAATAAAAAATTTTAATGGTTATACAGTTTTATCCATATTGTCCTTCTGAGCAAATAAAGTCACTGCTTTTCTGGAGAGTTTGACATGTACTGATGCAGGGAAATATGACAGTGACATATCCGGACACATCAACAAGACAGATCAATGTACAATGACGTTGGTGTGTGTTTCCAATAAGATACTGGTTCCCTTTGCTGGTCAGAATCACATAATCTTTTCTTTTTTTTTATCTCCACAGGTCTTTTGGCCTTTTGGGGAAAGAAAACCAGTTTGTTTGACCGCTCAGTAATAATGGGTCATAATTAGACACTGCTTTGTTTTAAAGGGTGGAAAGCCTAAAACAATCATTTTCCTTAAGAGACCCTTTTCTATCAGAATCAGAATCAGAAATACTTTAATAATCCCAGGGGGAAATTATTTAAGAAATAGATTAGATATTTCATATTTTATTCAATGTATAACAGTAACAGTTGAGAACAATGATAAACTGTGCAATGAACCCAAATAATGAACTCAATAATTGCAGGAAGTTTGTGTAAAACAAGTGATTTTGAACAATTCTCAGTCTGTATTATGTATTTATTATATTTTTAACAAGCAAACATAGTTAAGAGGCGTCCCTTTAAACAAATTCAATATTTTCTGTTCTATTAGCTCTTGGTTGTTTTAACTGCATACCTTTGTACTGAGAATAAGGCTGTTCAGCAGAGACTGAAGGCTCTGTGAATACAGCTTGTGTTCAAGTTTATATTAAATAATCTAAACTTTAAGTATAACAATTAAAAGCTTTGGTGTCCCCTAGTGGGGGTCCCAACCCCTGCGCCTAGAAACACATCTGCTCTGTCAGAAACAGTGTGTTGACATGAATGATGGTCGGTTTTCAGATTCAGTTCATTCACTGTGATCATGTTGAGAGTTTTTGCATCTGTTTGCTTGTTTGAAGAGATTTCATATATTATTATATCCACTGAGATAACCTACTCACCGAAAGTACGAGCTGCAGCTACAGAGGATGATCTTGTGGGCATTGAACTCAGTGTCGCCCACTTTCATCACCACGTCACACAGTTTTCCCCCCAGACGGAACTCAGTTAGGACCGCAGAAGCCTTGTCACTCATCTTTTTCTCCATCTCACGTCTGCGAGAGTTTAATGAAGCGGAAGATTCTTCTTGTTCACTCATTTTGAGACGTCAGTCGATATGTTTCTCACTCTTCTCTGCAGGTTAGTTTGGTTGTGATGTGTTCAGATGTTTGCTTTCTCTCAGACACTTATAGAGTGTGTGAATTCTTTAACAGCAGATTCCAGAACGTTTCATAAAATCTGGAACTGAAGGAACTAATTTGCATAATACAACTGTTCATATCTTCACACATCGCGTAAAACATATATAATCTAATACACTGGTTCCTTTTTCTATCAGCGACCCTTTTTATTAAACTGACAACCCCTGATTGAGTGATATATTGTATGGATATTTAATATTATGTTGCATTATTTAAAAAACTGTATAATTAACCTGATATGATTTGAATTTTGAGCAGATTATTTCCTTTTTAGGAACTTTTTATACATTTTTCTTTTAATTTAATTTTTAACAAACATACAGACTTTATGACCAATTTCATGTTTTCGTGTTTTCTGACGCTTTGTCTGTCACAGAAGTGAACCAAATCCTGAGATAAAGGCCTAATGTGTATATTTATAGTTGTATTATACACCTTCAAATCAAGACAGACTTGTTTTTCATGCAAAACTCCCAACAAACATTTGGTGGTTTCAGCTTCTTAAATGTGAGATCTTTTTAATTTTGAGGTTTAGAGAAAGACACAACTCAGCCAAAGATTTAACTGTTAATAAATAAATAACTGCTGGAATTAAATTAAATCTCTCCAATAATCTTGGAGAGATAATAATCAATAATCAGTCAATTAGTGAAAATAAGCAGAAGCATTTTATGATATTGAGTTTTATTTCCCATTTTTATGGTTGTATTTGTATTTATTTATATTATCATCTATTCCAACATGTCTTATTTATTAATTCAGTACTGACACTTTATATTTATATAACTCTAAATTTTTAATTAATTCCTTAATTATTCCTTAATGCTCATTTTATTTTATGTTGTTATAGTTTTGTTTGAAATGCTCCTTTTTCCTGCACAGAGATGGTGTTTGGAGCAGAGTTGGGGAGGTGTTGTTACAACCTTTCACCACAAGAGAGAGGACACAATAAGTGATGGCTCCAATGCAATGGGGGATGTCACACCTTGCTATACATCTAACTTACTATAGGTCAGTATATCTCATATACGTCAGTGCCTACTCCTCAGAACATGCTTTTTCAGACATTTTAGACACACAGTATAGAGTAATTTGTTTTTATGCATCGCTTGATATATGACGGTATGTTGGATTGAGTTTGTTTTAGTTTTGTAAAAATGCTGCCTAACAAGTAAGATAAATTTTTGTCTCTGCAAAATGTACAAAATATACAGAGTCTTTGTTATTTCTAACAAAAACAACCTGACAGATTAACACATAATCGATGTAAAGATCACACACTGTGATGAGAATAATTATTTGTTAATAAACAATATATAATTTCTTTCCTGTGCTGGTTCACTCCTGATATGTCCGGTTTAATTATTAGTTATATATGTGGAGTAAAAATATTATATATTATTTATGTATAGCCTATTTAATAGTTATTTACAACGTTTTACACAAATCTTATAACCTTTTAACACTTAAAACTGATTAAAATAAAACGGCACCCTTACTTTGTACGGGGTGTACAAAGTAAGGGTGCTGAGGGGGCTGCCTTGTAATAAAGCCAGCAACATAAGGAATAAAATATTTAAACTTTTAATCACATTTATTTTGTAACAACAAGAGACAAGATAGGATTTGATTGAATGTAGTGATCCTAGTTTGATTATTGATTGACCATAAAGACTTAAAGGTACAGTTTGTAGAATTTAGTGGCATCTAGTGGTGTAATTGTACATTGCAACTCCTCCACTTCACCCTCCCCTTGACTTTATTAATCCCCAAAGGGAAATTGGGTCGTCATAGCAGCCAGGTACATTTAGATACAATAAAAATACAACAGAATAAAATATTCCCCTCTCTAGTGCCACTGTCTGGTTTGTATAAAAACAGCTCATTATAAGGTAACAAAAACATAAAGATATCTATATTCAGGTGATTGTTTACTATTGAAAACAAACCTATGAATATTATATTCTGCCAATAGATTCTCCTGAAGGTTACACACTGGACCTTTAAGATAAAATCCTCTCAAATTAGGGAATGTGGTTCAATTATTGGGATCACAGAAGAACATTTGGGAACCCCTGCAGTAGTAAGTAAATGTACTTTCCACCACTTAAAATATACAGATAATACAGCTTTATAAAATTATTAAATTATTTAGTAAATCGAAAATATAACTTCTCTATCTATACATTTGGAAAGATTTATGTTTTATATCCCTTATTGGCGGATATTATCTTCCATACAGGTCTTAACCCTCAAACACCCCCTTTGAAGAAGTGAGGACCGGACA